TCCAGCAGCTGCCAACTGAGAACACAGTCCAGGGGGTCACTGCTGTAGCCCGAAAACTGCAGCAGCTGGCCTGGGCCCCATGGCCCAAGAGATAGTTGCCTCTCCCGCGTGGCATACAGCCTCAGCAGTTCATACTGCGTGTCCATGGTAAACATGTCCATGGGAGAGGAACCTTGAGAGTGGGAGGGGAAGGGCGGGGTGGCTGTGCCACCATCCGTGGGCCAGTTGGCTGAGTACTGGTCAAGGACATCGGAAATGGATGCTGTTGGTAGAGACACATACCTGTCATTCACACACCAGGCATGGGGTCAGGAACACATGTTTGAGTCTCAATCTTGATTTCCCTATTCCGACATACCACATTACATTTACAGTCCAGAATGTGGACTGCAGATGCCACTGTTCAAGCATTATTACCAAGCCACACTCACGAATGTCCTCAGCATGCTTGTGCAAGTGGCTCACACGCTCATACTGTTGGAACGCGACTCTCTTTGGGCCATTTGACACCCAGAATATTCATTGGTTTCAACTGGGTTCTGCTTCATAGATCAGAGGACAAACAGCCACTGGTACAACTTGCTTTCTGCTTTTCAGCACCAGGTCAATAGCATCCTCCCTTGCATTTTCTTCCATCAGATTTAAATAAAAGTTTTGTATCACCGATTTCCCCAACAGCTTCTCCGCTTCCAGACAACTGGGCCAGTGGGAATGCCTCATTGGCAAGCTCACCAGAGGTATATCCCCAGAGATTGCCGCCAATCAAGGTCCAGCGTCTTCTCAATCCACTTCGAGTTCCCCATCAGCAGCTGGTAGATGCCCAAGCGCTCTGGCAGATACCCCACTGCCCTCCCATCCTTCATTATGCTGCCCACCTCGCTTCTTAGAGAATCCCGCATGCAGCGGTACCCGCCCGCCACTGAAAGGAGAGCAGCGAGTCGCGAGTCGCGCCGGGAGGCAGACAACACTGAGGCTTTGAACAGGTTGTGGCCGCTCAGGAGTATGGCAACTGCCTTCAGAAACACGTCCTCGTCACCAGGATCCACCGATTCGGAGCACAGGGCATCGAGTTCTTGCAAAACTCGTTCCTTGGTCATGAGCGCCAGCCACTCGCCAACGTTGGCTCGTCTCCGAAAGAGTCTCATCATGGGGTCTGTGGCACACACAGAGCACACCTTGTCAGGCGAATGCACTGGTGCCTTAAAATTCTAGCAATACTATTTGTGGCAAATGTGCCAAAGCAGCACCATGACAGTGAAAGCCCAATGAGGTCCTGTTGCTGATAAGGCTTGGAGCTGATGATATCAGAAGGACAAACTGGCACACTGTTGGAACATTGCACATGAACGGTGGTCGGAGCAGCATTGGTTGTAGAGGGTATAGGATCCCAATGGTATCTCATTGACCACAGGGCTGCAGCAACAGCAATGGGCCAGCCTTCCCTGGTGCACAGCAGGTGTTCCTGCCAAGCACTTGCCGCTGGGCCAGGCCTTTTGCTGCACCCAAGTCATTTTCAGTATCTCAGCTTGGGCACTGCAGCAGAACCAACCTGTTGGCACGTGGAAGACAGGCATCGTTTCCAACAAGCAATATACTTTACGCCTTGCTACACTGCTGGCCCTGTCCCCTTAGCCAGCAAGAACTTCTTTGCGACAATAGCATATTGCATACATTTTACAAATCCTGTCGAACAGCCCTTCTGGTGCAATGGAAATGTTACACTGTACATTGACAATTGAGCACAGTGCATTCAAATGCATTGGCCACTTCTACATTGCCACATCCAGTCCCAGTTAGCCCATGGCTGTCTGTTCATGCTGCCAGACCGTTGCTGAGACTGTGAACTCTTGTAAACTGAAGTTTGGGTGCATGATACACACATAACCAATGCACTTCAAGACATTTTTGCAAAGGGCTTCCTGAACAAGTATCAGGAAGAGGCCGACCCTTGGATCCCACTACCCTACCTCAAAACTGAATGGAGCCCAAGTACACTGCCCTCACCTTCTTCTGACATGTCCTCTGCGAACAATTTCTTCACAAGCTCCCAAGTGCAGGCCTCATGCAGGACAGCCTCTTTTTCATCAGATCCCTCGCCACTGGCAAACTTGTGAGATCCCGCAAAGCCCACCAGCGCATCCTGGATCTCGTCCGTCAGCTGTGACAAGGCCCCTGGGCTTGACACCAGCCGCCAGGATGGTAGAACCCCACTGGAGGGATGGCCGCTGTCTGCCAGTGAGGGTATGCCGGAGGGATGCCGGCCACCATGGCACTCGCTGTGAGCATGCAGGGTTCTCAAGCCCAGGCACACACGCTCGCGTAGCCTGTCTCTGGAATCCTCATCCGCCTCTGATTGGAGTGAAGCCCTGCAGATGGTCACCCTCGTGGAGCCTGCCACAGCACATGTGCCAAGTTCTCTTAGCCTTGTTGTGAAAGTGCGGATCCTGTGCATCCAATTCTAAAAGAACCCGCAAAACACCAAACAAGACAACTGGCAAAAAGCAAGCTGGCCACCCATCCCATCTTAAAAAGCTGGTGTGGCATTCCACCAGCAAGCCAAGCAATCAAGATTGCTTGCAGCACAAATTGACGGAAAGGGTCAGAAATTTCTGACTCTGAACGTCTGCAACACTGGGAACAGATAACCTCACACACAACTCGGAATTCAGATCTGGAGATGCAAGAGTCTGAAAAGCTACTCTGTGTAAGAGCAGATTTGTCTGGGAAATGCACAGAGAGTTGTGACTAACCATCTGCACCCTCAACCTTTCCAATTTGGCAGCAACAAAGCAGAAAAGCATTTGTGCATGCCTGGCTTTGGGATTTTGTTGCTCATACTGTTTCTTGGCCAACAGCACCTTCAGTACACCACCATGCACAATTGACGCGTTATTGATGTGTAAGATCTTAATGATTCACAAATCTTCCCAAAGACTTGTGGGTCACAACTCGCTACAAAATTACAGACACTTATGCACTCCACATCATTCACATAGCACACAGCGCACCACAGCAGTAAACTGGAACACGTGGCCGTCATGCAAAGCATTCCATTGCGCTGTCAAAACAGTCAAACCCAACAAATAGCACCTCAGTTCAAAGGCATGAAACTGGCGATATACACAAGTGCTGCTGTGCAGAGGCACCATTGGCAGCAGGGTCACACTAACCTGTCCTGACTGCATATATGTTTCGAGGCCCCCATCCGACCCTGAATGTCTTGCCCAGCATGCACCCATCATCCACCAGCATGTCATAGGTTTGGGATTGGGAGGCATCCAGGGAGTCTGTGACTGAGGCAGGAAGAGTGGAGAGGAGGTTGCTGTTGGGAACTAGTGCAGTGCAATCGCGATCTCCTGCATGGGTTGTGGCACACAGATGGTGGATTCAGCAGCCGAGGAGCATCCTCAAAGACAACAGCCGATGAACTCAAACACTAGGATGAGAGCATTCCTCTGTTGTCCACATTCCTCCATTGTCGTTTTCTGCCATTGATTTGCGAACACTGACAAATGAAGTCACAGGTGTCCTTCATCGCTCTTATATTGCACAGCCCAAGTACCCTGCTATGCAAGTTAAGCAATGGGCCAACTGGAAATGTGCGGGCAGAAGCCAAAATGCGGCATCAGACGGGGCATAGAGCAGCTACACTGGCACAGGCACCTTGACAAGAGTCATCAATGGCTTCTTTGAGCCACGTGCTGTTCTCCTTCCAACAAGTCAGTCTCTTGTCAAGACGGCGTTCCCCTTCAGGAGATGTCTCCAATTCTGGCGATAGCCCAATGTCCACCAAACCCTCAACCGGTGACAATGCATCGGCCTCTGAACTTGACTTCCCAGTGCTCATTGCTTCATCTGCAATGAACAAATGCACCCAATGTTCATATGTGCATATGTGAGTGGTGGCTGCATTTATTGAAATTTGACAAAACGCCGCCCTCCCTTTCGTCAGGCACAGTCAGCTGTTGGAATCAGCATCAACCCAAGAATCCAAAACATGTGGTCATGTAAGAGTTTGACCATTGCATGCTCAAGGCATATGTTGCCCCACTCCTGCATCCATGAACCAGCAATGGCAGGCATAAGCAGCTCATTGCCCTATGCCAACTAAGAATGAAAGCAAACTTGTGCATGAAACAAATAACGAGCGAGAAGTCACATCATATGTCGTCATTTCCAACAATAGACTCAGACAGAACGTTTGAGTTTATATGTCATACTTTTGAAGTATACAATGAACACCTTCCCCAGGCAAGCTTTCTAAGCTTTGCGTGCTATGCCAAACCAAAGATGTGCCCCTGAGAGTGTTGCAGGAGTAGCATGCAACTATTTGTCGTGCCAAAGCAAAAAGAATGCCCTGTGACCATATCAGGATGGTGTTGATCACAAGGAGCACTGTGTTGGTTTGCTGCTGGTCACAGGTCAATAAAATCTAAGACAGGATGGGAATGAGCTGCCTGCTGGGTGTGGCAGGGAGTACCCAGAGAGACATCAGTTGAACCACCTTGAACAAAGTGGTAACACATAGTCACCAACACAGAAGTTGTCCCAAGTTCCAATCATCGAGCATATACAATAGATGACATATGTGAATGCTTGCAGCCTTCTGGCACACACACTATCCTGTCTTTCAAAAAGGAAGGTTACACAAAAGCTGAGAACATCGTACCTGGCCCACACTCATCGGGAGTGGGCCCTGGGCTTCCAGGTTCAAACAGCCCCATGAGTGCCTCAGGGTCCCTCTGCCACGTCCCTACAGGGGGGACACCATAGCTGAGTTCCTCCATTGGTGTTGCGAATGCCCCTGAGCCAGCTGGCTCTGTGCTTGCCAGGGACTCTAGTGCATCTTCCTTCTGCACAAACTGTGAATACTCTGGTGCAGCTCGCGGTGGTGTCCTTGGGCTGTCTGTGTCCAGAATCCACACTGCAAATTCAGCAAAGTCGTTCTGCAGATCAAATTTGTCAGAATGGCCTTGAGGAATGAAGCCTCCATGCAGACAACTCGGGGTGCAGAAAGATGCAATCAATGTGGGGTCGATCAGCTTCAGTAAATTAGGGTGCTGATTTGCCTCTACAACAAGGAAATATGAAATACAATGGGTACCCTCCATTCTCTATTGCACAGGCCTTGCAGATTTTTTGGCATACTGCTGAAGGTGATACAAAAGTCTCCGATTGCGACAGGACTAAACAGAGATTTCCATGAAGCAAAAAGGGCTTGTCAGTGCCATTCCCAACTGTTGCTTGTTATCAGCAAGTTCCATACAAGGTGGGAATGTTGGTCTGCATCCCAATGTGCAAGAGCACTGATGCCAATAGGAATCAACACAGCAAATTCAGCAGGTTCTCTTGGGACCAGGCTTGCAGTCCTTGCAGGGTCCTGACCGTGGTTTGTGCAAGGTCGATTATTACACAGGAACCGATTCACTCACTCGAACCCATTCACATGGCTTGTGGAGGGCACAGCTGATGGACCGGAGCAGGTGGCAGTGGGCACGGTTTCCATTGTCAGCATAGAGCCCTATGAGATTCCCAGATGTGCGTCAACTTTAACTGGGTGACATTAATTTTTCTTGTCACACAGGCGGATGGCGCATTTCGACTTCTTTTCTTTCCCTCAACCACAGTCTGTAAGCAATACAGGCAGTTGGCAATCGGATCATGTGCACGGACGAGGGCCAGCTGAAAGGCCAGATGAAAGGTTTGTGGATGCATGCATGCCTTTGTGTCGTCAACTGGAGGTCGCAAGGACAATGAAGGGACAATTTGAACAAGGAAATCAGCACACCACTTCCATTCATGGACAAACAAGATGCCTCTCACACAGCATCCTGACGGCCAGCCCTTCCTGGTGCGCGCTAACAGCACTTTCGACACAAAAGCTGGCCTCTCCGAACCACAGCCCAACGGTGGGCCCACACGGCGCCACTTGCCATCGAGCCTCCTCTCCTTGGAGCTTCCCCCGGAGATGCTCTGGTCCCAGGGTTGACACCCGCGCCGCTTGACCCCAATCACTCCCATGTCCTCAAAATCGTCATCCCCGCTCGAGTCCTCCTCCTCCTCCGTCGCCCCATCGGAGTCGATCTCGCCCACCTCCTCGATCCCCCATCGCTTCCTGGGCGCCGCGCCCTGCGACAGAAAGACGAAAGCAAGGCAGCCAATTTCAGCATTTGGCGCGACAGCATGCTCGAGAAGAGTCTGGGGGAATCACGACGCAGCCGCGTCGGCGGGCCTCACCTCAGAGGACTTGTCCTCGGGGGAGTGGGGAGCGGCGCGGGCGGCCGGCGCCATCCCCTGATGCGACGGACGGAGCCCGCCCAGGGGCCTCCTGGAGGCGTCCCGAACGCGGTGGGCGGTCCAAGGGAGGGGGAGGTGGGGCGCCCAGCCGCCGCCGTGCGCCTGGTCCAGATACTCAGGGCAGGGGACGGGGCGCAACGGCCGGGTGGGGAGACCGTTGCCGAAAACCGCAAGGCGCAAAATGCAAGAAGGGGAGGGGGGGGTTTCCGGCAAAATGACTGCGATGTCCCAAGTGCCAACAACACGGTTTTGTTGGAAAGTGGGTGGATTATGGTGCCACTTGCGGTTTGCTGCTTTGTTGGTTGCGGATGTGTGGCATGCGTTGAAGAGATTCGAAAGAGCAGTACGAGCAGCTTGTATGCTTGTGCGTGGCTCGCGGTATGTAGCTCGGAGACAGGCCACGTCAGAATGACACGACGGGTTGCCCAGCCCAATGCATCGATAAGGAACAGATGCGCGTCTTGACTGAGCATTTCGACCTGGCAAAAGAGACAGGGTCAACGGGCAGAAGAAGGGCATTTCCCGTGGCATCCCGAGAATTTGCGTGATTTTGGTGCAATGTGGGCAGGTTTGAGTGCCGGGCATTGTAATGTCATAGAGATGTCGTCCATGCTACCAATTGTTCCCAATTTTTGGCACAATATTCAATATTGGACAAAAATTGGCAGAAACCAGAGTTACCATGTTTTCCGGGTGCGCACTTCCTTACTGCCAATTCACTTGGGAAGGAAGAAGACAATGTAAAGTGTTCTTTCTCAGTGTATTGTGTATTGCCACCACGGTAGTCACGATATGTCAATCTTACACCTGCCGCTGAGCGACAGGACGCATGACAAATGGTGAATTTAACGCCTGTGATCTCAACGCCATCGCAGTCAACAGATATGCACTTCAATTCAAGAAACATTACGTCATTCACGAAATTCCGACATCCAACGTCGAGGCTTACACAAGGACGGGGCGCAAACGTTCGGAGCTCTTGGATTGTCAGCAATAAAGCAAAAAATGATCCAGTCTTGAGAATTCTGGCTCTGCCGGGATTGAGGAAGTGGACCAGAGACCAATCCACTACTCAGAAATCCCAACTCATGACCAGAGCACTGTGGGATGGGGCCCAGCCCAGCACAAATCCAGTCCGGGACGTCATGCGTGCCCACAGGGCCCTGCCTAAGAGGCATGCTCGTGCAACTCCTCCTCGCAGCCCTGTGCCTCCCAGCCGTCCAGGCCGCGGAAGCGGACGCCGGTCCACAGGCCGGCAGGACGCTGTTCGGCGCCGGTCACACGCCCCTCTCCTGGGACTCCGACGAGCTGCGCACCATCCGCGACCTGCACTCGCTCAACTTCGACGACAGGGCACATTTCACGGCCTCGCCGGACATCGCCGCCTACCTGGGCCTGTCGCCGATCAACGCCCTCCACCTGCCCGTTCCCGTGAACGTGCTCTTCGTGGGCTTTGCCGGGGACGGCAACTTGGGATTGGAGATTAGGCCGGCGGAATTGCAGGCCTGGTTCGAGCACCTGGACCACATCATCCCCCACACCCGCGTGCCGCTCTCCGACCTGTCCTGCCGCGAGGATGGCCACTGCAGCGGGCTGGGCGACGCCGGGCGGCCGCGGCCACTGCGCAGCTACGTGCATTTCAATGTCTCGTGCCACGCCGTGGAGGTCAGCCACGAGGTGCTGGCGGTCTTCGAGGAGGCGATCGGGCTGTTCGGTAGGCCGATGCGGCGCGGGGCGCCTCGGGGGGTGCGGCAGGTGGACGCGGTGAGCATGGAGGCCCTGGTTGATGGGTTTGTGGAGGATTTGGGCCTGAGCAAGGCCTACACTGTGGTGGTTCTTAACCCCGCCATGGACAGATCGGGGGCTGGGTACAGGTACCGAGCCGGACTGTCCAAGGAGGAGATCGACGCCCTGACCGCCGACCCCGAGATGCTGCGCACGCTGGAGAAGGTGTCTGGGCAGGCGCGATGGGGGAAGGCTGGAAAGAGCGGGGCATCGGGGTTCTTTGGGGGATGGGTGAGGCAGTACCGGCCGCCGGGGAAGTTTGAGGTGAACAATCTGGAGTACGAGAGCTCGATGTGGGCGAGACACGCCCGGGACTGGCTGTCTGCGGAGCGGGGTCGGAGGAAGACGATGGCGGAAAAATTGGGGAGCCACAGTTCGTTGCTGGGGGACCTGCTGCTCACCAGGGGCCTGCATGGGGAAGCTGACCTGGCGGCCATGCTGGCCACCCTGCGGAAGAATGAGGCCCACAGGGCGAACCAGACGGCATTTGGGGGTTTGAGGGTGATGGAGCCTGAGGAGGGATGCTTGGTGGACGCATGGGTGGGACACCGGCGGTGGGTGTTCCTGGACCTGTCGGCCATGGCCGCTGATTGGGGCCCGTGGGTGGGTGGGGATGGCGTGAAAGTCAGTCAGACGCTGCCGAGCGTCCGGGATCACTTTGCGTCAGGGGAGGTTTGGGGAGGAATGGCTAGTGGGGATAGGGAAGACAGCACGGCACATAACGAGGGGTTGAAGGCCAAGCTCCAAGACCAGAAAGATGCCCATGTTGCCAGCGTTGTGAATGAGTATTCAGGCGCTCTCAGGCAGGCTGTTAGTGATGCATCTCCAGACGAAAATAGGGATGGCATGTTTGCAAACGTGGGGCATGTCCCAGATGAGGTGCTGATGCGCGCTGAGCTTGACGTCTTTGAGAAGTTTGCCCTTGAGCACTGTGATGGGGTCGTGAATCCGCCCGAGATCTGTGCTGACCTCAAGGAGAGGGTGGATGTGCTGATGGTGGAGATCCACATGCTCGAGTCGTCGCAGGGCGGTACTGTCACCTTTGACCGCCACCACTCCTGGGACATCTTTGGGCATGAAGAGGTCCTGGAGGAGAAGGACGCAACCCCTCAGGCGCGCGCGAAGGATATGTTCCTTGCACACATGGCCGCAATTGTGTCTCGCGCTATTCAGCATGTCTTCATTCCGCCTGCTTTGGCATGGTCCCATCAAGGAATTAAAGAGGACACCACGACGCCTTACGCTCGCCACATTACCTTTCACCTGTACCTCATCAAAGACAACTCACGGAGGACAGAAAACACCTGGCAGGACTTCAACCTGGAAGATTTGAAGAGTGAGTTGCTTGGCTGCAAGCTGGGAGACCAGCAAATTAAGTTTGCAGTGCACAGACTGCAGCTGACGGACGATCCCACGTTGGCATCTGCCCTGGCATCCGCTGTGAGATCGACACAGCTAGAAATGGGCAGTCATGACATGGACGGGAAAGCAGAGCGAGTGTTCTTCGACTCTAGGGAGCTGGAGAGGGTGCTGGGCCGTCGGTATGTTGTTACTGCAAGTTCAGAATCGGGAGAAATGGGGCCTGGGCGGAGGAAGAAAATGGATCAGCATGCAAGCTTGGAAGTGCCTGTCTTTGTCATCTCTTTGGATCGGGATGAACCCGTGTTCATCGACGAGCATTACATCGCGAAGGCTCTCAAAAACATGGTGGTCGTGGTCCACAATGCGCAGTACAGGGGCCAGCACCCAATAGGCTTTGTGTGCAATGGCCTGGTCGTTGGTCAGACACTGGCGGCGCCTGTGAAGGCAGCAGTCGCTGCAGTCTACCAGCACCTTGGGGGACTCCTCCCGCCACATTTGGGCTACAGTCCAGCCCACGGTGCCATCAGCCACGACTGGCTGTGGTCCGTGGGCACACACGCCTTCTCCTTGACCTCCCCTGGATGGAAGGCCACGCAAGCACAGAAGGACGCGTTGCACAGGAGCTACCTCTTGGATGTGCTGGATTCGACGATCAGTACAGTGAACAGGGGCATCGCCCTAATCGGTGAAGAAGCTACCCGTGAGGAGGCTTTCAGGCAGGTCAGCAGCATGAGAGGAGAAATGGGCGGCCTGCTGCGGTCGTTTACTGATTTGGTGGAGGTCTGGCGAAGGGCAGTGGCTGAGTTGGCGATGCTGAATTTTGAGCAGGCAGTCACGAACATTGGCGATGCGGAACGACATGCACAGCAGTTCTTGGAGCTTGCTGAACAATTGAAATTGGGCTTGCATCCGCTGAAGTGCGCACCAACCAGCAGACTCGCTCTCGGTGTTGCAGAAGAGCTTGTGGGTTGTGTCGTGCTGGTGGCGGCGGCACTTCTCGTATTCGCGCTGCTCCCAAAGGTTAAGAAAAGCAAATTGTACTAACGCCTTTGCTGTGGTTTGGAAGAGACTTGTTGCACAACGAAATGGAATCTTACATGGACACACAACCTCACTCCTACGGTGCCCGTCTTCCCCGACCAGTTTTTTCGTAGAGGCGGGTCCATGACAGCCCACCGGGGATCCTCAAGTCAACTCGAAGCTCCTAAACTACTGGACAGACAACTGCCCCAGTTTGTTGAGACATGACAACTTTTTCTGATATCTCGGGTGTTGCTGGCAAGCACCTCTTTTCATTATTGTTGCTCACTTTTTGCTCGTAACTCAGTCGATGCAACTATCGCATCTGGTATATTCTGGGGATTGATGCCTTCACATGTATCCAATATATGAATTTTAGGATTCCCAGAAAGCAACACTAACCTCGGCTTTAGGTGACTGCTTTGGAGGCGAAATGGGGCCATCCCAGGGGTGCGGCCATCGGCAATGCTTGTGCGGAATGTCGATTACCCAGATTGGACAGGAGGCTGGTCATTGCACGGCAAACTGGTAATCGAACAGAAGCAAACAAGAAAACCCATGTTGTGGCATTTTGTGTCCCCCCCTTCCGTTGGTCAGCAATCATGAGATAACGTGGCCATGACTAAAGCCAGACAAGAAGCAAGGGACGGGCCAGGCCGCACATTGGTGCCCTCGATACGGTCACGATACGGCTGCCAAAATGTCAGTTGGCAAACTGGCCCATGCTGTCAATGTCGGATGCACCATCGGCATACGGGGCGACAAAGAATATATTCTTCTTCCGCTGACAAGGCCAGCGTCGGTCAGTGGGTCAGTGGTTTAGGGTGTCCGAAACAAGAAGGGGCCTTCACGGAAAACACACAGCGACTAATTGGGCGCCCCTCCCCCCACCCCCACCCCCACCCCCACCCCGGCATAAAATTACTCCCTGCATCAAATCGGTGACTGCTTGCACGAAAACGGTGACTGCTTGCACCAAATCACGTGCATCATGTCCAACTCCGTCAAAACTAACCTAACCTAAACCCTAAACCCTAAACCCTAAACCTAAACCTGTCCTAACCCTAACCCTAACCCTAAAACTCACCCTGAACTAAACCTAACCCTAAAACTGAGGTTAGGACAAAGTATGCACGTGACTTGGTGCAAGCAGTCACCGATTTGGTGCAGGCAGTAATATTATTTCCCCCCACCCCCACCCCTTTTTGCGGACTGCATTTATTTCCACCCGTCACTGACGTCACTGACCCACACATCCAAACACACAATATTGACTGGAACCGAGGCCGGCCGCAAAAGAGAAGCCGCGAGCGCGGTCGCCCGTCCGCCAGCAGGCCCGATGGGGACCCGAGCGCCAGCAGCACCCACCGCGCCGCGCCGCGCCGCGACGGCGCGGTCGGCGCCCCTCCTCCCAAAAGCGTCCATCCGCCGCGCCTGGCCGCGCCCGCGGGACGGACCGGGCGCCCAGGCGTCGATGGGAGTCGGCATCAGGCCGGACGACAATGATGTGGCGTCGGAGTTGAAGCTGGTGGTGCCCAAGTCGGCCTACGGGTTGTCGCAGAGGCAGATGGCGGCGCTGGGCCTCGTGGGAGAGCAGGTGGCCCGGCGGTACGATGTGTGCGAGGACGAGCTCACGGCCGCGGCGCACTACGGCGGCGAGGTCGTGAGCGAGCACACGAGGATCGCGACCCGCATGGCGGGAGGCCGCCCCCCCAGCCAGGCCCCGCCGGACCTGCCGTCCCTGCTGCTCGACGGCCGGATATGCTACATTGGAATGCCGGTGCGTGCATTGGTGGTCGCGTGGTGAGGTTTATTACGAAGAGAGAAAGAAGCAGGTCATACAAAGGGCACCCCGTCCTAAGCAAGTTTGTGCGATAATCTTCTCCATGCTGTGAAAAGACGATATAGAGTCTCTGATGCGGTGGTCGCGGGGTAGGCGGCCTATAGTGCAGGAACTTGGGGTAGGCCAGAGTGAGGCCGTTTTTGTTGCTGATCAGGAAGGTTGGGGATGGTGCACCATCGTCCTGTGCTGACAAGTCTTTGAGTTTGTCGTGGCCTCGAACGTTTCGTACGTTGATTGGGGTGTGTATTGTCCTCTCGATCAAGGGGCGATGCCGGCTCGTTAACCCAGCATCTGTATGGATGTGGCACGGTGTAGAGATTGGCTGTGCAGAGCACACCGACAGTTCTGGAACTTGACTGCTGTCTCGTCCACCATTACGCAAGTGTCATTGGCGCATCAATCGGCAGGCGTCAAATGTGGCATCTTTCTTCTTTGTACCCGCACTGTCCAGCAGAGTTTTAGGGTCTGCAGAAAACGGTGTCTTCAGGAGTGCTGTGACTGTGAAATGCTCACAGTGACATGTGAACAGAGTGAGTTGGTGGCAATGAATGGCAAACATTGGTGGCCATGTGTGTGTGTAATGCACCCAATGCTGGTGTGGTTGCTTGCACTGCCATGCACACACTGCCAAGTGGAGCTCGGTACTACAAGGGAGAGCGCTGCAAGTTCCGCTTTTAACAAGTGGCCACATCCCCAACTATTGGACGTGCAATCGCAAGCATGTGCATTTCACTGCTGTTGGGATTCACTGGTGCGGTGTTCTTGCAGCTGGACCCAGCAAACGAAGCGTTCTTCTGCAATCTTGATGCCAAATTAGTCGGGATCACAGAACTTTAGGAAATGCTGCGTTTCATTTGATGGGCACCATTTGTTGGGTATCAAAATCTGTTCAAGGGGCAATGTTTGCATCAACTCAATATGGAAGGAAGGCTGCAAATGGTCTAGAATATTGATGATTGGATCTGGCAGTCGAGGACCTCCAGGATTGAATTGTTTCAGGTAGCCAGTTTTGAAACTCTTGCTGTTGCAGTGTTCCAGCCAGGAGCTTGTATTGCATCTGGTGTTTTCTCCTGAATGGCAGTGCCAGGACCCTGAGACAACACTGATGACGAAACTGTTTCCTCAACAGAACGCCACAATGCCCATCGTGCTTGCATTCTCAGGTGTTGATGGATTCCTGTGCTCAGGGTGTTTTGTGTGCCTTTTGCTGCAGCTTGTGGCACAGGTTACAGAACTGGTGATATCCGAGCTGCTGTGGTTAAACTACAACAATCCTGAGCAGGCTGTCTATGTGTACATTAACTCAGTTGGCTCACAGACACCTGACGGTCAGACAGTAGGGTTCGAAACGGAGGCATACGCCATTCTCGACACCATGGCTTACATCCGACCCACGAAATACACACTTGTGGTCGGCCAGGCCTTTGGAAATGCAGCCATGATCCTGGCGTCTGGCAAGAGGGGGGGCCGATACGCCCTTCCACACTCACGAATCATGCTCGCCCCTCCCAGAGCGAACAGGAGCTATGGGGTTGCCAGCAACGTGATGATTAGAGCCAACGAGCTGGAGAACTGCACCGAGACGTACATCGACTTTCTGACCGGCTTCACGGGGAGGGACAAGGACGAAATCAAGAAAGACAGCGGTCGCAACAGGTACTTCACGCCAGAGCAAGCGATTGAGTATGGGCTGATTGACAAGGTTGTGCAGCCGGAGGACACGATGATATCCGAAAAGGACTATGATCGCATGCTGGCGCAGTCCCAGGCCATGCAGCAGAGGATGGCAGGCAGTGACGCTCCAGCAGCCGCAGCTGGATAGCAGCAGGGGATGACGCGCTGTTGCCTTGCCCACTTGGGTGCGTCCTTGTGCCCAGTGGCGTGGGAGTGGGAGCCTGCTCTTGGGCATTGCAGGCGCTAATTTTGGTACACAGATTGGCTGCGGAGTAAGAACAGGGGCTGTACTACCAGGTGTAGGTTGTCAAATGTACAACATGAACACCAAGTTTGTGGTCTCCTTGTGGGACGACTTGCCCTGGGCTGCACGCGACGAGCATTGTGCACTGATTGTGTTTTAGGACAATGCGATGGATGTGCTCCTGATGGTTGGCTGTGTCCGCGAGATGGGCGGTCTACAAAAGATGATTCTGTTATGTAAGTGGTGACTCTACCGCTTAACGCGCCCCTCAAATGGCGTGACAGAGCGCCATGGCTTGTGCTGCACCCAAGGCGCTGCAATTTGCAGAAGGATTCAAAGTTCTATTCGTTGTGCAGCATCTCGAATTACTTGCACGTCAAAACCCCGTCGCTTGCGGATGCCATCAATGATTGCATTGGTGAATGACTGCGTAGATTAGTTGGAGAATGCTTTCCAAGAAGCTAGGGGACAATCCCGGCAAGTGTGCCACTGGGACTGGGATGCAGCACCATATGCCAGTGCTACACATCATCGCTCTTTACCGGAGGACCTCAGCAGCGCACCACGCGCACGCTGCCCTATATTTGTTCAATGGACGTGCCATCAGAACTTCGGGCAGACATGTGCATGTGATCATGCAACCATTGGCTTCCACATCATGAGCACGGCCGCACAACGCAGGGAACGAACAGTTGTGCTGCCTGAACTACGTCAGCCCACCATGGCTGCGGAAAACGCCACGCCAGGAGTACCGTCTACCAAGCAGGGCACATCGTGAGCGCAGCCCCTCCGCCCAGGTCGACTGACGGCCGACTCGATCGACATGGCCTCGCACTGTCTCAAACCTGCTACCTGTGTTACATGTGGGGCCCCTCCTCTCTCTTTAAGTCCCCTACGTACGCACTACTGAAGCGGCGTCTTCTCGAAGACCTCAGGGAGGACCAAAAACTGAGTAGCAAATGGCGCGAATGGGTATCCACACTGCCAAATTTGGTGCATGACCTCTGGCTCCACCACGTGCCACAGATGCAACCACAGGCATTCCTGCTCTAATGGGTGCCACGTCGTTGACGTCTATTGCTGCAGCAAGGCTGGGCACGCCCACGCCCAATCTGCACTCCCAATATCCCTTGTGATATCCATGCAGGCAGCACCGCACTTCTGCCACACCCCCTGCCAGCCTGGCCATCGGGGCGCACGAAAGAGCCAATACGCGCGGCCTGGCCTGAGGCCACATCCATAGCCCCCGTTCTGTGACTCCGCCCTCTCAGAGGGCATGTGCCAGCCCTTCCTCTTTCTGCTGCCGCCGGTGCTTGGCGCCCAGAGAGTCGCCACCGCCCCGCTTCAGCACTCCTTTTCGCACCCTTCGACACCAGCCGCTCCTGTCACCCCTGGTGCCCTTCCTTTGAAAGGCCAGGCGCATGGAGCAGTGCACTGTGCGTCCTCTTCCCTCGGTACCCTGTTGGTCCCCCTGTCGCACCCCTGTCACCGTCACCCATACGTCGCTGCCAGGGGTTGCGAAAAGCGTCGTCCTTGTCAACCTGTCGCGGTCGTTGGAGCCACCTGGGATCGCCAGGTAGTCACTGACCTGCATGGCATCAGGGCGCACACCACATTTCGACGAATGCCCGCCATCCCCGAGGCGGCAGCAGGGACAGTGCTTGGACGTTAGTCTTGGAACTTGAAGGCCCGGCACGCGTTTTCATGGTTTTGTCGAGGAACATTACCGATTTTTGCGACTCGCCAAATTGGGACTAGACAGAGTTGTAGTGCACTATGAGATTGGCACAACTTTGCCGGGTGTAGCGTTTCCCTTCAACAAATCAGCGCCTTCGCATGCCCTTCCACATACTTGTTAAGTGGCACAATGTACAATATGTGAGTATGACAAGTAGTTACATGCTATCATGACATTCTGTGAGGGCAGGGCGGCGTCTGTACTCCATTAATATGAAGCATTGCAGCAAGTACAATAGACCGAGATGCATGGCTGAGCGCAACTACCATCGCGATTTGAATGAGGACGATGCGTCTGCACAAGTGAGCAGATCAAAGCATAGGGCAACGTTGGTGGCCTAGTTTCCGGCGATGAACTCCCCCTTGAGCCAATGTCTGCATCCCATTCTTGTGATGTGGAACCCATTCTCGTAGAGTTTTGCAATGAAATAGCCATTTGGCGTGAACAACAATGTGCACGGAGTTGAGCCCAACACCTCCTCCCAGACGCGTGGACACTTATGGCCCAAATTTCTGACAAATGCACTCAGTTGATTCAAGTGGATTTCTGTGGCCAGCATATCTCGGATGGCGGCACCAGAAGTGTCGCGGCTGGTGCTCAACAGACACAAACACTCCGTGGGGGCACACCAGCTGCACGGATCCCCGATAAACGGATGCAGTTGGTGGCGCATGTGACGGCGCCCCTGGACGTCTGGGTAGCGCCGACGACTGGTTTTCGCGCGGCCTGTCGTCTGTCGAACCGATCTCTTGATCGCCTATCCTCATGCTGCCCTGCATGCGTGGGCCATGAGGTACTGCCTTGGAAGCGGCGATCCTCAAGCGGACGCATGAGTCCATTTTCAGCAAGCTCTTCATGCAGTTCCTCTGCTTTGCGAGCATGTGGAATTCTCTCACTTCTTGTATCTGTGCTGAAAAAAAAGGCTCAGCACGTCGCACGTCGCAGAATGGCCAACTCGCAAGAAACAGCTTGTGCAGCCGCAACAGCGTTGTCGATTGCCACTTGTAGCACCAGGCGCATAGACAGTCAATGGCTGCACCATAGCATCGTAAGGATGGTTCTACTTTTGCAAGGGGACCCACAAGTTCACGAATTTGTGGGCCGCCTTTTATGGAGGAAAACCACCTGAGCCACATCAATGAGAGGACTGTGATTCACTCGTTCCATTGCGGTATGATCTTCCCCCCAATCAAGCAATGTTTATTACCCAAGTACTCTGTTCTGGGGTCCGATGCGCTGCTATTCAGCCCATCGTATCCCGTACATTGCTATCGGGCAAGAAAACCCATACCCGGCAGGGCAGGAGTGGCAAGATCCCGATCCAGCCTTCAGCCCCAATCCAGAACGTGAATCCGTTGAAAAGAGATTGTAGAATTACATGTAGGTTGGTCTTCACGGCTTAAATCGCGTTTACGCTATTTCCGCGTAAAGTTGTTTTTCGGGTTTTACGCATAAATTGCCGCAGAAATGGGTAAAAATGGGCCCTGTGTACTTAAAGACAGTACATACATATTCAAGGAGTGCGGGGAGTGGCAGCTGAACGCATTTAAATATGCAAAAAATGACCTTTTGCTCGACAAGGTCGTTGCCTTTGCTGAGGGCGAGCTGTGCGCTGTGTTGCCGGTACTGGAGAGAGTGGAGGATTGATCGTTGATTGGGACCTCATCATGTAATCTGGGGGTGTCGACGAGCCGTCAGAAGCGTAAATATGGCCGTGAAAATGGGCGCTTCTCTATTTATGCGTTTTTCAGTGTGAAAAAGTAAAAATGGAGCCGTAAACGTAAAGACCAACACTGACGTATATTGTGCTCTATCGTAACAATGCGTTAATACAATGTCAGTACATTTCTATCATATTCAGTCACGGCGTGATGACGACATGTTTTTCCAATCAACAGCCGCCTTTATATAAAGGCAAGGAATAAATTCCTAGATGTTTTCCTCATCAGATGCAGGAACAATTTGGCGCAGCTTTGACCTGGTGGAACAGCCCCAAATTTGCTATGTATTGCTGGGGCACTGGAGGGAGGTGTCCAGCAATTCCGCTAAATATCCTCACCTCACCAACGGGCACGGGCACATCCGCAGCCACACCTGCTATCCATACAAACAATCCAAAAGGCTGAATCCCCGTGATCACTGCTTTGTGCGTGGAGTCCACATCCAACAGCTTCGACAAAGTGGAGTCTGCGGGGAGCAGCTGCCTCTGTCAGTATACCATTAGCAACATTTCTGATATGGATTTTGTGTTTCTGAAGATACCCTGGGAAGAGGTTGGTGGCCATGTTGTGCCCGATGCTTCCATGCGCATTCACCTCGCCTTTGCGCATTGCAAACACCCGCAACACAAGTTGCTCCACCCACCCCCTTATGTGGAAATTGTTTCAGACAATGGACTGCGGATGCAAAGAACGGGATGTGGATGTGCAAATGAAAACGGAACTGCAGAAAAGGCACAAATGCATGTATTTGAATGATCCATCATTCAATCACATTAGCCACCAAGTGAACCACGCGCTGAAGCCATCTTCCCAGCATTTAACGTTAAATAGCACAAATCAAATCGCTACTGTTAGGGGCATTCATGTGGGTTGTGCAACTGCAATTGGGATCAATGCTCACCGCATACCATGATGTATTGTTGACTTTGAGTCCAGTTACAGAATTTCACAATTCCCACGTATAATGTGCGCTCACATGTAACAAACAGCTCAACACCAAAGACAATCCGAGGGCGGGCGATGGAATAGGAACACAATTTGAACCACATCGGTCCGATGCAAATTGCCCATCAATCACGCAACACGCAATGGAACGGGGCCAGATTGCGTCATTTCAACACTGCTCTCCGAGCTACTTTTCACCAGCGTTGACGACCTCTTGTTCCCGCGCACAGCGCCGCCTCACAGTGCGCGAGCGTTCCCAAAGGCCCCGTTCTTGCCTTGCGCTGGAAAAAAAATCAACCGTCAGCGCCCACCATAAGTCGGCAATCACGCGCTCCAGCTGCCAAATGACGAAATCTGTCAATTGGACAATGCAAGGGCTGCATTCGGTCTTTGTGAAGTGCGCACGAAACATGGATTTGAACCAACCGCCTTTCGCTCCATCAACTGCGTTTGGCACCTTCCTCAATCAGACAGCAAAATGCGCTCCGAGCGCACTTTGCCGACGACAAGTCCTGACCAGTGTCACACAGGAACCAGCACTGCGCCCAACAAACGCTGGCGCAAATTTCATTCCGTTCCTTTGAACCTCAACAAGTCCAACAACCGACAACGGCACCCGCATGTGCACACCGTAGTATATGCAACCCTTCTGCATAGTAACATAGCGCTTGGCCTTCTTTGTGGAGAAAACAATAGGAAATAACGCTCTTTTAGTTAAAATTTTGCGCGTCTGCGAAAAAAATAACGCCCTGAAAAAATGCGGAGCGAAAAGCCTAACGTAATTTCTCTTGTTTGATGCAGAAGGGTTGGAGTCCAACCCCCAACAGTCCCCCCAGGCCGTCGCTTCAATTGCGCCACCTGAAGTCGCCCCCGGCAGTGGCGCTCTCGCACCACGTCTCAAGCCCCGGGTCGCTGTCCGCCTCCCCGCCCCACTCCTTCCCCGCGCCCCTGCCCCGCTTCCTGCCCATTGACCCGCCCCCAGGTCTCGCAAACCCCTCTCCGGCCCGCAGGCGCTCATCCATGGGGCCGCCGCTGCCAACGCTGTCAGTGCGGCTGCCGGGGACGCCACCGCTGTGGGACGTCGCCGCCGAGCCGTGCCAGCAGCTGCCCCCGTCCTCCATGGAAGGCAAGTCCCTGGCCAGGGAGAAGAAACCAGAAGCGCCCTCGTCAAAGTCTGTCGCCACCCCGTTTCCAGCCATGGCTTCTTCACGACGGCGGGCTTCTGGACGATCGCCCGCTCCTGCTGCACCGCTCGCCATGAGTTATCGGTCGGCATCCGTCGACAGCAGCAAGCCTTGGATGCATTCGGTGCCCCAGGGGGCGCCCACTCGCGGGGGAACGGTGTGCTTGCGGCTCCCAGCATCAGCGTTTGAAGCGGGCTGTTCCGTGTCACGGCAATGTGCTGGTCAACGGCTGGCTTGATCGTCGCAGAGTGACTCTCGACACTGCTCCTCGCTTCCACGGCTTTCGCGCCCCGCCTGGCCGTGCGCGTTCAGATTCCCGGGCCCCTCCCGATCCCCCTCCAAGAATATCCATGCTTGCGCCGGGATTCGCAGCTCCGCCGACGGCCCAGACGCCACGCCGCGGATCTCCGCTGGACTCCGAGGGCCCCCGCGCGGCGACCCGTCGGCCCCCGACCCAAAGTCGTCATCGTCGGCGGTGCGAACGCCGATGTCCTTTTCGGCCTGCTCGCCCATCGCGACTAGGGATCCGCGGTCAAACGACGCCCAAGAGAACCTCGGCGCGCCGTGTTGCGAACCGGGTGGCAGTGTCTGCAAAAGAAAAGAAATCCAGCCGTTGGGCTGGGACCAGAACGCCGTCGAGGGCCGCGGCACCGAACAGTGCTCGCCCGTTCCGCAAGTCGTCGTGCCGAACGCGCCCAGCGATGGAGCAAGCATTTTCAGTGGTGGCGGAGAGGCTCCCTTCTAAAGGCCGGCGCGCGCGCAGGCACTGCCAGCCGACGGTCAACCAACGAGGACAGACAGAAACAGACGAGGGCGTCGCCGTGCGGGTGGCCGTGCCCGCGTCCAAACACGATGTACATTCTGCAAGAGAGAGGATACGTGGTGCTGACGATGAGGGGGTGGTGGGTATGGTGGCCGTGTAGGGATGCGCACAACAACGGCCAGGATCCGGCGCTGTGGCGACAGTTGTCGCGGGCCCTCCGTGAAGCTATGGTTCTGCGCCAGTTTGGCGTGCTCATGGCGCTCAGGCTTCGCGGCCTGCGGGAGCTGCAACGCCAGTGCCCAGCGCCCCAGCCTGCCCTGTCCCAGTGAGTCCGAAACGGTGTTTGCAAGAGATGGGGATCAGTCGGTTTCGGTGGTGGTGGCGCGCAGCGGGATGCATGCTCGTATGGGCTCGCCTGGGCGAGAGGGCATTGAGCGCATGTTCGCAGGGCGACATCGCAAATGGTTGTCTAACCAAGGGGCCAGCACTTTGCGAGGCTGCCTTCGGATCACCTTGGTTTTCATGGACGCATGCGCATTGTGTGATGTCCATCACTTGCTGGCAGATGGTGCACCTGTGGAGAATATGATGGGCACTGAGTGACGCAACGCTTGACTTCTCTGACACCTGCTCCTGCTCTTGTGTCTGTGCAAGGGCAGTTGCCAGACTATCTGTTTCTGGCCCATCGCCACATGCGAGAATGCAGGCTCCAGCACAGGTTTCCCGGGTCGAGCAGCACGTGCTCGCATCACAAGATGACGCAAGGAGGCAGAGACCGAGAGGCGTCCAGCAGCCGAAAACTCAGGTCCCGACGACGAAGGCAGATGGGCGGAAGCCTGGAGGTAAGAGGGATAGATGTTGAAGACATCAGTGTCGTTCCAGTCCTTGCTACTGCAGTCGGCCCCAACAGACTTGGTTGGCCACAGACACCGTGCATTCGCAAGAGCGGCTATCACATTGCAATAGCAAAGGTGTTGGATCATTGATCTGGTGCTGTTGCAGTCGGTTTCGTGCCTTTTGGGACCACATGCATGTGTTCCGAGCTCTTTAGCTGTCCTGCATGTCATGTTCAGCCTGTAGGGGCATAGCCGGCCTTCCAGACACACTGACGACCACATGATGATTGGCAGTACAGCATTGCTGTAGACTTCCTCTGAGCAAATTGCCAGAACTTCATGGGCACCAAAAATTTGAGGGACATGGAGCATGGAATGACAGGATGATATTGATGAGCAACAGAACAGTGTCTCTGATCAGACACGCTTCCAGGGTCTCTACAGTCCTGCGGTTTTCCTGCAGATTGGCAGCGTTTAAAGTCCCGCGCATGTTGTTCCATCCCTGCATTCCATCCCTGCCTACATTATGCAACCACTCAGCGCTCATAGGTGCACATTTGCCATTCTTACCTTGTGCTTTCTGATCAACCCTTTGTTTTGTTCAGGCACAGTTGGCATGAATTTCTTTGCAACTTTTAGCCTCTGTGTTGCATTTGAGCGCCATCTCAGTCATGCTTTGTGAGGAAAGGATGCTATTCCAAACAAACACGACCATCCCTCCACATCATCCGTCCTTGGCTCTAATTGGTAGATATGTACAACATGGTGGCCCACCCATGGCACAGAGGTACTTGTGGGACATTGTTGCCAGGCTTCACCAAGAGTGTTGTACATGTGTGTTGGCCATGGCGGGATGATTTTTCTGGTGGTTTGTCTTGATAGGAACAGCCAAGAAAAGAGTGAAAAGGCGGCGAATACCATACCTCGCCTCATTCACACCTCGCCCAGAGCTCCCCAGCTTGGATGCCCTTGTTGTTGTGGAGGGTATTGCTGATGGAAGGGCAGTTGCAGCAGCAGTCAATGCGCCGGTGGGTGATTCCTCGCATTGTACCATGAACAGCCTAGTTTGATTTCTGTGGGTGCATTTGGCTTATTGTCAGGACAGTCAGCATTGTTAAGGGGCAGACATGCTGCTTTTACTTTAGGCATTTGACTTTCCACACCACCTGTGGTGACTGGGTGCAGATACATTCTCCCCATGATTGGCACTTCCCAGCCCGCCACAAAGATCCATCGTTGAGACCACAGGGTCCACTTGTGGATAGCCAATGCCACATCTGTATCGAAGATTATCTGCTCTTGCTGTTTTGTTTCTGGGGTGTGCAGCAAACGGGCTAGATGGTTAAGACAAGACATTGGTGATGTGGGAGTGTCATGGCCATAGCCATGGAATGCATATATTGGGCAGTGCTTGTATGCATTAATTTACCACAATGCTGTGTAATGTTGACACTGTGTTCATACAATTTTGATTTCATGGCAATGTTTTGCTGCCTATGTTCCCTGCAGGTACTAGTGTGCGTAGGTACAACTGTTGTCGGAAGTGCAGGCAAGGAGCAGCTGAAAGGCATAGCCGACAAATTCGAAGACGTTATTGTGTTCATGGACCCCGATCATGAGGGTCGGACCATTCGCAACAAACTGGAGGAATGGATTGGCCCCACACGCCACGCATTCATGCCGTTGCCGGCTTTGGGCGTGGGTTCCAGCAGGTAATCGCCATGATGTTCCCGTGGGTGTGGCGTCGATGAAAGTTAGTTTCAATGGCAACCTGCAGACTGCCTTCAGACATTGTCATGAATCAAAACTGTATGAGCACGGTGTCAACGTAACGCAGCACTGTGGTGAATCAATGCATAGAGCGCTGCCCAATGTACGCACTCCATGGCTACGGCACTCCCACAACGCCAATGTCGTGTCTTAACAAATGACTCAACCGCTTTGTTCACACAGAGCGACCGGTCAATGCAGCGCGTTGCTTTCCGTTTGTGGCTGGGATGTTGTGTCCCTTTCAGTCTCGATCCGTTCTTGCGTGTGCCAATATGGTAATATATGGTTGTATCTTTACCTTTTAGCGGAGCAGACCCCGCTACCCTGCCCATGAGTCCTGGTGCTTCTGTGTTGGCGCAGTGCAGCTGGCTTCAAAACAGGGGTTCAGTACGCGCCCGCAGAAGCCACTCGCAAGGCCCTCTTCTCCGCTTGCACCAGCGATAGAGAGCGAGAGGAATTCAGAAGAGAGGATCTTGAGGACATGGGATTGGTACAACCCAACGGAGTGCGGGTAATAAATTCACGGCCCAAACTCAACGGCATTAGTGCAACCCCATTCGCCGTGTGTTTGTTGGAGGGCGGTGCAGGTCTGCCACATGCACATCACCCACGTCGATCACGGAGTGTGTTGGTTACCATTGTGCGCATGTTTGTTGACAGCAGGCGGCCGCATCTCTGGAATTGGAGAATTCTGCGATTGTGTGACTGCGGCACGTGGGGGTCCCTGCAGTGTTGCTCATGATGCTGGAATCGTAGGCCCGTTGCGGCCACCCCCTTTTGCTGAGAATGGCTTGAACGGCGCCAAATCGACTGGGGCGTCGACAAGGTGCTGAGACACTTGTGCCGCAAGCGCATGCATGCTGATCAAAACCCGTTGGGTTGGAAGGACAATGCCAAACTCCGTAACGATGCAAGCATGTAAATCGCAACAGGCGGACCTCATTGCTTACGAGACCACATTGTATCGTCTTAGTAGGCGCTATCCACGACAACGGCACTGCAACTATTGCGCCAGCTGGTGAAAACTCGATGATAATGCCGAAACAATGCTAATCCGCTACAGAAACCAATGTCCCCTCATGACGTCAGTGGATATTTGCGGTCGCAACATTTCTGCACCTGACCTCCTGCAGCAAATGCTGATGCAGGGAGTGAACGTGAAGCTACGGCGAAAGGAGTTTTGTGCATTTCTGGGATTGGGTCCGTGCGACGGCAGGCAGCTCTTGAAGCAGCTGAACTGGTACGGCTTCTCGCGCAGCCAAGCTGCAGAGGCCGCGGCCTATAGTCAGCGGTGCGTGGATGCATGGGTGCTCGCACATGGGAGCAAGGAAGACTCCCAGTGAACAAAATAGACGTGCTCAGGTGCTCTCTGTGTGGAAAACTCTCTCTGTCTGAACTAGTATGCTCGTTTTAGATAGATTGGGACATTGGGTTCTGGCAGCCTATGGGACAAGAATGACGGAGGACAGAAGAAGGTAGCCATAGCTTGTCAGGCATTTTAATACATTTAGTCGTTAAATCACTTAATACAACATGCTGGTCTACACTCAGCATTCTGTCGCCTCTACATTACATACTGTACACTACCGCCTATTAGAATTCAACTTTGCTCGGCCACCCACAATCCCCACCCCACACCAGCCCGCCTCTCATCCCCGCTCTCATGTGATTCGGCTTTCCTGCTCGCTTATTTGCTCCTTGTATTTCGCAAGCTCGGACTCGCAGATCTCACACATCTCTTCTGCCCATTTGATGAACGCTGCAGCAAAGCAAGGCAATGTCTTCAGCCAAGCAGCAGGGAAATGGCATCTGGACGAGCCACCACTCTAGAAAAAGCGACCTCCAGCTACTTTTAGCAGTTGGTTCACCAGTGCGCACATGCAATAAGGTCATCCAGCCAGTCAGGGGAGTTCAGAAGCGAAGCAACAGAAACATAGCAGTCTTCAGGTCACCATGGCCCATGGCAGACATCATGTGACGCTGTAGTACAGAGTGTCTCTCAACGCCATCGATTTGCTAGACGCCCAAACAATCCCTCGCATTTGTTACCTTCGCCTCCATATGCTCCCTTGCCAGGTGTATTGTATGCGATTGCGTTCTTCCGCAGCAAAAGCACATCTTGCCGGAACTCATCCGCTGTTCTGTACTTTAGGCCCTTAAGCCGCCCTGCAATCTTCTCTGTCCACATCTCATCAGCTTTGTCTACAAAGCTGTTGTAATCGTGAACCACAGTCTGGTTCACCTTGTTCTGTTTATGCACAAAAGGGCTCAGTGCAGCACAGGCAGGCTGTGCAACTGTCTGGCATCGATTCGTAATTCCATGCAGGCGAGTTTCGGAAACATCTCGTGGGCAATGCACATTGGGTAGAACCAAAGCCATTGCGCAGGACACTCTGGCTCCCACAACTGTGCCCCACCCTGGCAGCAAACGATGAACCAGAGTTCCGATACGCCAAATACCCTGCTACCACTGAAGACAAATGAGCTACGGCATGTCCGCATTCCATTGCTTGCTCACAAATTTGTCGCATCGCCCACATATGGGCCACAGCCACGGCGGCACTGCCCACGTGGGCGCCGTGTGCGCGATCCTTTGGTTCTTGCAACCAACCTTGAAGTGCCTCGCCTGGGGGTGTCTGGTAATGGACTGCAACACCTTCATCAAGATGTCCCTGTTCAGGACTTTCCGCCCAGTCTTCTGTCGGCGCTCCTTCTTCCCCTTCCTCTCAGGTGAGGACGGCTCTCCCGCCAGAGATGGACTCAAGCCTGCGGGTTGAAGCCCGTTGTTGGAGTGGCTGACCAGATTCCCAGCAGAGTAAGCAGAGACAGACCTAAAATGCTGGATAGCGCTGGCTGCAAACCAAGCGCGCCTGCTGTCTGCTGTGACTTTGCTTGCGAGACACGTATGAGGCGCATGCCTCCAGGATTACCTTCAGGATGCGAACAGAGTACATGCAAGGCGGTGAGTCACATTCACCCGCCTGTCGCTGTTCTTTTGCAAGTTCTGTGTTGGCACACATGCGGCAAGATTGCATGCTACTGTGCTGACTTTGAGCAGCAAGCCGGATGATGCACACGACGAATGCGTCGACAAAACAATGGCTGCAAACCATTGCGACTTGGAGCGGGGGGTTACCAGAAATTGCGCCAGAGAGCATGGTCTGAGAAAGGTCCTGGGATAGAGCCGCCTGCGAAGCAGCAGTCTCCATCGCTGACTGCGACATCTGCTGCAGATACCAACAGAAAACAACGATTCAGCAGACAAGGCACCCATGCAAGGCATCGCCGGCCACACTGAACAGCAACCGCATGCGCGAGCCAAGAGACAAGCGGTGCCATGTGCTGTGTTGTTGCCGAACAAAGGCGGAGAATGCCATTATAAGAAAGTGCTAAGAAGCAGAGCGACGATTCTGCAGCACTTGCTGCAACGGCTGGATTCAAGCTTTTGACATAAGCTGGGGTCTTGTGTATCCAGATAGCGGACCATGCAAGGTGATGTTGGTAGTTGTGCTGTGCAGCATTTGGCCATTCTTTAACGCTTTTGAAAAAGGAGGAACACTGCCACGATATTCATCCTTATGAATCACGATGCCCTTTCCTTGATTTAGCTGGCTGGAGAAGACTGCTCCTGGTCCATGGACACTTGAGCACATTCAAAGGCTGTTCCAGTCCCCATTTTTATTTCTACTCGTGCTGCATTGGTGCTTTTGCATATGTCCCCATTTCTTTTGCATTCCAAACGCCATTGGCGACCACAGACTCATTACATGCAGTCTTCACCTTTGTCGGGGTTTTTCCACCCTTGGACGAACTTTTCGACTTTTTTCGCGCAGTCCCATCCGTTCCGCCCTCATTAGATTTGCGCTCATTCACAGAAGGCTTGATCTTGAACTTAATTGTCCCTGTTCCTGTCAGCTGGTTGGCACTGCTGCGCCTCTGGGCAGCCTTCCTCATTGACGCTAAGGAATTTGGAGCGTGCGGTCGAGGGCGCTTTGAGGGAACCTGTGGATGCACAGCGTGGAGGTTCGGAGTTCATGCTCAACTGGGGGCAACCAACCGCCGACAGGACAATCAAACCGTCAACTTGCCACAATACACATAGCAGGGAACATTGAAAGAGATGACTGGTGCTGGTCGGACTGAGCACATTCTGTTGCAGGCAGGCACGCCTGTGGCTATAGCATACAATGCTTGCTGTCCCACAAACAGCCTCCATTGCCCTGCTGTCATCCTTCAGACAAAAACATGGCCAGTCTCTTGGGGTATTGGTGCAACCAATTCTGTTGGCCTGTAGTTTGCCCAATAGCGCATGCTCGCCCTGTGCATATGCGCAACATGCACTATAGGCAGAAGTAGCATACACAATGTTAGTCAGATGAACATCTGTGCTGTGCAACGTGCACTGTAGGCAGGAGTCATGTACACAATGTTCGTCAGATGAACGTCTGTGCTGCGCAACAGTTTTGCAAAATGGAGCTATTGCAACGCAGAGCATTACTTTGATTATAATGATGCTTCTCAATAAAAATCGAACCAATTCTCAAGCCTGCTCCAATTTTCATACTCCGGCTGTCCCATGGACGCACCAGTCTCTTGTGTGCCCTCTCTGCTGATTCATCTGTGTGCTTTGGCAGAGGTCTCCGCCCTTCGATGACACGATTCTTCGAGCTCCCCTTGCCAGACCACTTTATCAGATCGTAACGATCCATGCTCAAATACACATGTTCTTCGCTGCCATCCGGGAACACAATGGCCCGATGTATGCGTTGTGCACCAGTCTGGGGACACCACATTTCTTCATGAAAACTGCTTGCACTCATGATAATCTAAAATCCACAATACTGAAGTTTACTCGATTCCAGATCTTGAAATTCAATCAGACAGTCACCGCCAAGAATGAGTCTGTTTTCTACAAGAGACATCACAATGGTCTGCCTTGCCTGGGCCCGCAACTGAAGCCGAAGGATGCGCAATTGGGCTGACAAAATGTGCAAGCCTCAACTTTTCTTCGCTTCCATTCTGCTGACAATGTAGGCGCACTTTGCAGGGTAGTGC